ATTTGTAAATGTAGCGCAAGCAACTGCATCTGTGTGTTATGTAAATATCAAGCAATTGATGGAGAAACATCCTATATCATTAATCATGATGAAGAGTAAACGTCCGAGGACTCGGTTGTGGTATTGAGGTATCTTGTGTTCACCGTTGGCTAGCATCCTATACCCAGTGACATGGTGAGTGAATAGAACGATGCATCAGCCTGCCAGCCGGTTGACTGACACCGGCTCCACTCATTAAGGACCCCTCATGAGTGCGTATTAACGCTGCTGTCTTTCATATCAGTAGATCGTTGATCTTATTAAGGAAGCAGTAAATTGAAGATGATTTTCCAGGCTCCTTGCCACTCGAAGCGCAGACGTGCTGTCTAATCTTTGATTCTTTGTTGTGAGCATGTGTGGTGGCTGTTTCTTGTGTTTTCATTTGACTTTTATTTAATTACAAAACTTTCCCACGTTAATGATTGATATTCACATTTCCAGATTAGATACAACAAAGGAAGCTTATAAAATCACTGTCGTCAATTATGCGCAAATACCGTACTGTTGGTGCATTTGGAATCACAGCTTAGTGTCGTGTGGTGATCAAGTGTTTGAACTTGGTGCAAGAAAGTGTTCGGTTTATTTTCAATTTTAAGGTGGTTCCAATATTTCACAATTTTTAGAATGTAAAGTGCAACCATCTACCTTGATATTTGTCGTTTCAGAATATGTTCTGAAGAGAAAAAAACATAAGGGAATTGAGCGGAGCATCGGGTTGAGGATCACTCGATGTTGTTCAGTGTAAATGTACATTCCTTTGCTCTATGGTACATGTACAATGTACATGTACATTGTACTTGTAGCCTGGTGGATCGACGATCAACTTCTCTAATGTATCGCTGGGAGGGAAGATTAATTGAAAGCCTCCAAGTAGCACTTTTTGGTTGCCGAATGGCTTTTGAGAATTAACGAGACAGCAGCACTTTGAGCCCGGGCTTCCATCTCGAGTGTTCCCTGAGTGATGCGTTTTAATGTTTGGATATCTCAGGGTATTGTGATTGAACCGAAAATGGACAAATGCGTCTCCAAGGATCAAACTCAAAGCTGACGGCAAACTTCTCTCATTTCTTCTATTCTCCATGTAGACTAGTTTCTGGATGCTAAAGTACAATGTACCGTACGTGTGTTAGGGGAAATCCTGATGTATTTACCATCGAAGTTGTTTTGCTCCTCGTAGTTGTCTTGGTGAGGTACGGTACGTCTAAGTGACACAAGCTCTGTTGCTTCTGTGTAGCGATTCAGTCTCCCCCATGTCTTCCATTAGCTCAGTTCTCAGCCTAGGGGAAAAATTGTGCTTCAGGAATAAAAGTATAAATTGTTTAAAATCTTTGTCTCTCCCCTTTCAACACATACATATTGTTCTTTTGTCAGTATAGAACTTACTCGCTTCCAAATGATGTGATTTGATACCTGGGTCTTTATGCGTGTTAAATAAAATTTGCTTTCCCAATGCTCTTCAGAAATTCGATCATTTTCTGTAAATGTCTCTGCCAATTGTTTTGTTTGTTGTCTCATTGCTGGAAAAATAGCGATTCAGAAAAAGAATCTTTATTTTCGAGATGAAACTCGAAACCAGCAGCACGGGGAATGCAACTTGAATGTGGCAGTTAGGCCTACATGTAAGAAATGCTCGATGGCACTCAGGATACAAAATGTATATTCAAAAATTGTGTTCATACTCGTTTTTTTTCTAATTTAGCCTACAAATCTCTGTAAGTACAGTGAACACGGAACCATGTTGATATTAGTTTTTGTTTGTTGTGAGATGTTTAAAATTCGCAGCAGTTAGGCTCCACTTTGGCCCATACCATCATGTAAACTCTGTGGCCATAGACTACTGTAAATAATTGGCGATAAGCTAAACAAGTTGTGGGCTATAAATAAACAACTTGAAGATGGAATTCCCTCCCTATCTGAATATAATGACACCGGTGATCATCCAGCTCCATGGTTTAAAGGTATAACAACATTTGCTTTTGCTGTAATTTTCATAAATGGAAGGATTTGGGGGTTAGTACTTTATAGCAAATATTGTTACACTGACCGGTTTAAAGTTTTGCATTCATAGATGCTGGAAAAACCAAGACAAACAATCATGTTATTGTAGTCTGGATCCATGAGCAATTTATAGACGTTGGAGACGTTCACGGATGTGTAACCAAAATGTGGACTTATGTAACTAAATTTGGTAAATTGGGGACAGTATTTGAAAAAGTCAGTTTTTTCCAACGGTGGTCCGCCGACCATCAGTGGAAATTTTCTTGAAAATGACAGCACACCAGGTGCCATGATTTGATAGGATGCTTGATACTGTTATTCACTTACAGTCAAGTGAGGTATTTCATAACAATCTGGTAGTTTTGTTTTTTGATGTTTGCAAATGTTGTACATTAACTTTAGGCAAGACCAATTTGATGGGGGGGGGGGAGGGGGTTGACAACAAATTTACCAACACCTTATGACCATATTGGAGGCACTAATCAAAAGCCGATAATCTTGGATACTATCAGACAATAGATGGCTCTCTTCGTTGCATCGTATTTCCATCAGAATCTATGCAAGATTTAATTGACAGAACGATGATTTGGACGACTAAAAAAACAATCAATGGTGGTATCCCTCTCCTTTTGCCTCGCCCGTGGTTTAAAGGGAATATACATCATTTGCTTTTGCTGTAATTTTCAGAAATGGATGGAATTGGGGGGTTGGAAAGATAAAGCAAATATAGTTACACTGACTTTTTTGAGGTTTTGGGTTCGAAAATGCTATAAAAACCAAGAAAAACGATCATTTTCCTGTAGTCTGGTTCCCTGACTCCATATAAGAAAAAACAGAGCAGTTTACATACATTGGGGAATTGTAAGGTCAGGGAACCAGTCTAGCTGGCTCGTACCCGTTCATAAGTTTGTAATCGATTGCAAACAAGTGCGATGGTCAATTGGGGCCAGTATTTGAAAAAAAAAGCCAGTTGTTTCCAACGCTGATCGGCCGATCAGCGTTGGAAATTGATACAAAAATACCACTTTTCTTGAAAATGACAGTATACCAGGTGCCATGATTTTACAGGATGCTTAACACTGTCATTCACTAACAGTCCAGCAAGGTATTTCAAAATGATTTGGTAGATTTATTTTTTGATGTTTGCAAATGTTGTATTTTCCCTTTAAGCACTTTGGTTGAAACAAGTTCTTTAACCTGGGACCTTGGTTGAAACCATGATTAGAAGGATGGATAAGGTCAGAACAATTGTAATATAAACCATTGCAAAATGCAGTAGTGGCAATTGAAATGACCGGCTAGCTTCTTTGAGAACAAATGCCTATGTGCTGAGAGAATGGGACTGGCAGGAAATTAAAAAGTGAGGACAAATTTGTGACCGCCACTGTAACAAATATTAACTCGGTATCTTGTTTCACGAAAATGATGCGCGGATCTGTTTATGTACACTTCATGCACTTGTATACGCGTACTGTTCTCATACGTGTAAATCACCACATAACCACAACAAAATTGACAATAAGTCATTGTGAATACTTTTGAGGTTTTTTTCTTTCATTTAATCCAATCAAATGCTGTACAGTCAAAGAGCTTACATGTACATGGACTGTATATTATTGAACATGTGTGAACAAAATGTAAAATCTGAGTAATGATTCTTGTGACGCAGAAACATTCTGTTCTTAGTAAGGCCGAATAAAAAAAAAACATGTTTCTCGTCCGGGTTTTCGGGAAAAAAAGGAGGAAGCAGGGCTTTTTATTTTTTATTTGTTTCAAGATGGCCGCCATTTAAAAATTTCCTGCAATTGTTGGTGTTTCCACTGTTCAAAGACACTTTTAAAATGAAAGATAAGTTGGACAAGAGAACTGAACATATTTACAGTGTCATTTAGACTTGTATTGGTCTACAATTTATTTTCCGATGAATTTGTGGACTTTTTCGGTGTTTTTTTACTGCATTTTTCAAAAATAAAAAATAATTAAAAAAATCCAGGCGGCCTCCAAAAAGGAAGCGGGCGGGGACGAGAAACATGGTTTTTTTTTTCTTCGCCTAATAATCTACTTCTGAAATCAGAAGGCTTCTGAAGCCTTCTGATTTCAGAAGTAGGCCTTATTAGTAACCTTTTTTGGAGCTGGTTTTTGTTTAACTTTACACTTGTACAGCAACCACCAAAGATAAATGCTGGAAGGTTATGTTGATAGTTGCAGTGACAAGTTTCTTTATCTTTAACACATGTTCTGTCCTGGTAAGGTAACTTTCCTCATAGAGCAAGGAACTGCACTCACATTGTTCTTGTTGACAATTCCTTCACAGTATGGGGTCCAATTAGTGACACCCACTTGTTGCTGGACACATCCTGGGGCTTTTGTCTTTGCAAATGATTTACTGCAGGTGGTAGACACCAATTCTCTTTTCATCCAAGATTCTGCTTATACATTTGTTGTTGAAAAATTGCCTGATTAGAAATAGTGTGTGCGTACCAGTACATGTACTGTACACGTACATGTATAGTGTCAGTCAAAAAGAATGTGACCAAGTTACAATGTAGAAACAAAAATCAAAAAAGATATGTGGCTCACTGCATTTGATTAAAATAACACAGGAATAAAGTACATTTTATTGACTATTAATAATTACATTTTCACTTTATTTGCATACTCCATTCACATTTTCTGTTCCACCACTGATCAGTTACTAATATGCATTGATGAATACTCTTTAAATGCATTGAACAAAAACTTGGAAAGGAAAACAGAAAAAAACTCACCGTTCACATTTCAGAAAAGGACTTGATTCATTCTTAATGCAAAACACAAAGTCTGACGGTATACAATGTAGGAATAATGTTTCAGTCTTGACTCAAATTTGGAATTTAAAGTAATTAGTAATTAAAAAAATTCCTCCAAATATTTTCTAGTATTGTAATTAACCGGTATTTCTGTTTTCCTTTTTTTTTCTCCAGGCGGAGCTTTCACAGACTCTGACATCGTTGACAGAGAAAGCGAGACAAGCCAAGGATTTTCTAGTCCATCTTAAAGATAAGGTCAACCAAGTCCAGGTAAAGAGCGTTTCCCTTGAATCAGTGTAATTGACCATGATACATGTCACCTTACATTTTTCAAATTCAGCAATGTGCATGTCTCCACTATTTTGCACTATTCATTGAACATACTGTGGTATTTTCCTTGGGGAATCCCTCTCATAAAAAGCAACTGCAAATTTGCACGACTCGATTTGCAGAGCAAAGCCATTGCAAGCTGTACAATTTGGAAAAGTTACCCTTAAGAGCTTTTCACACTATCGCTTGCCTGTTGAAATCAACACAGGTCTGCCTTAAGGTAGTCTTGGTGCAAGTCGCTCTTAGCGGGGTAGTTTATGATAGACGGTACAGCCTTTGTACCGCGCAGCAGCATGTTCCCATTCACAAACTTGACTCGGCCGACGCACCGCACGTAAAGAACGTCTTGGGAATTTCGCATTGCAACAGGGTGTAACTTAATATGCAAAATAGCAGCACATGCCCCATGGTGGAAACAAATGAGCTGTTCTTAAAGCCATTAGTCAAGCAACGTACCGTACGGCACTCGGCGCTAACCGGTTGACCGATTCAGTCGAATCGTGGCCACGTCCAAATTGATGAGTACTGATTTTTAGCCTTCCAAGGCCCAGGTTCTTTGCTGCCAAATTACAGAAACCAGACATGCTTACGTCACGCACGCATGCAAATGCACACACAAATCTGCTTGGAATTTCCCGAGCAGAAATACAAAATTCCCAAGACGTCCTTTCGGACTGTTGCCGTGTGTGTTAAGGGCGCCCGCTTCAAGAATCGCTGCACAGTTCAATAAACTATGCGCGCTAAATATCGCACCACTACTTGGACGTTTTGGAACCAATACTAGCCTATAGGCAGAACTAGGCAGTGTTGTAACTAAGTCATTTTATCACAAGTCAAAATTATTCCAGTGCAATTGCCCAACCTGAAACCTACGTTTATAGGTGAACATGCAAAGATTTGTCATGTGGTTTGCAGCAAAACTTTACAAACTAAGTTGGTTTTTTTTGTAATGTCGGTTACGGTTAACCGTAACCGCAAAAGATACGGTTACACGGATAATTTTAAAACCGCAAACTTGCAGGCTTATGAACACCTCAGTCATGTGACTGCTGTAAATGGAAGGTCCAGTATGTAGTACTCAGTACAATGTAGACCATTGAGGCTGACTCCCAGCCTCTCTGCAAATTGAATTGAACCTGTGAAGGCACATCCAGCTGTCAATTCGGCCGTCTGAGTGTGTCATCTGGTAAATGGATGAAGTTATCAAGTGCACCTGTATAGGAATAACTACTAAGCTCAGAGCATAGTTGCATTAGGCAAAGAAAGTTTTGAAGTTTCCTGGAACATGGGCCACAATCTCTGGGAACGGGGAGGAGGGGAGACATTTCCCGTCACGTTCCTACGTCCTTGCAGGACTCGGGATGTGTGACTGTAAATCGGTCCATTTGGGGTAAGCAAGTCGTTCGCAGGGGCCTAGCTAATGTTGTGATAACATGGGCATTAACGTTAACGTGAATGGAAACATTCCCCTGTTCATTAAGAATTTTATTCCCTGTCAGTAAATATCATTGATCATACATGTAGAGCTATTTTAAATGACTAAGGCGCTGACTCGATGTACAAAGTGATGCCTGCTGGGAGCATCCATGTTTGTGCACAAACTTTGAACGGCTATAATCTGCATTTGTATTCTATACAGGTGCGTTATCGAAGCTGATACGCCCAAAACCGAAACGCACGATCAGCAAATGAGCGTTTCATTTTGCTCTGGGCAAACAACACAGGCGTGCTTGTAGCTGCTGCAGACGATTTTTGCCTAAATGTTTTTTCAACCGTCATGACGTGCTTAAGTTGTTTGCGTACTGGCATGTTGTTCTTGCGCGTTGCATTCAGAATACACTTTCAAAACTCACTCCATCTTATTTCATTATGTTCTACAAACACGCACATGAATTCAACATGTCTGCACACAGGACGTCTTTAAAGTATCTCCGCGCGTAGGAATGAGGAGTTAGCAGTCTAGTAATTGAATACATGGCTCTTTGGTTATGTATACACTGTACATCTATAGGAATCTACTGGACCATGACATTGACACCTAAATGGCGACAGGCTTCCTATCACTCACAGTCATGGTGTAAACCTTGCTCATATGGCAACAGCATGAAGATGCTGTTCAAGACTTACAGTCTTAGATGTTAAAACTAACTTAAAGCCTAAATTGACATAATGCCTGAAATACACCCTGGTTCCTTGCTCTAGCTGTAACATTAGTAGTACCCTGTGTGGTACCTTACCCTTTAATATGATCCTGGCTCGAATTCTTGTCATGAGTTAGCTGCTTAAGATTGGGAATACGGGTTTTGTCCCTGAGGTACTGAACATGTAGGCTAGGGCTGAGCCAAATATTTGAATAGCCAATATTTTTTCTATTCAAATATCCCCCAAAAAATGTGAATAGTCTCAAGGAGATGGCAAACATCCACAAGTTTATTTGAATAAGTTGTGCAGTTTTATTGTCTGTCGAATACCATACTTTTGTCAAAAGCCACCTTACATGCGAGATTTAAGAGCCTCCTCAAGGAATAATTGCTCAAATTTCTTACTTTAAATTCCTACTCTCTCATTCATGATGTACTTTATATCAATAAGCTCTTTGTCAGTTTTCAACAATTGGAGACACACGCAAATCCTGGTGGACAGCCAGTTTAGGCTCGCACGTGTAAAACTTGATCAGCACATTTCGCATACAATGTATATTTGATTAAGTTAGGATTAATCAAATACTAAATTATATGAAAATGCACAGCACTATTGTAGGTAAACTTATAATTATCATAGTAGGGTATGGTCCTATTTTTGTCCGTCATCCTACATGTACATTGGCATCATGACATGACATCAGTGCCTACATGTACAATGTACATAGTGAGATTGTAATTGTCCATATAGTCACATGGCCAGAGTGTCAATCCATCTAAATCATTCACCAGAATTCTACCCCACGCGTTCACTTGACGGCCATAAATTGTTAAACCATCGAACCGTCCCATTCGCTCCCCAAATTGTGTGCACAAGAAATTTACGGAATTAATTTGACGGAGTGGACGCAGAAAGTGCAAGCTGGGGCCTCGCGCAAACGGCGTTCAAAGTGCATTTACCCATAATACTGAGATGGATTGGTGGGGCTTTCGTGCCGTAGATACCAGTACGTTGGGTACACAGTGAAAGGATTTTTTTTTGTCTGCTCTGGTTCCATTGGTAGCTTTATACACGAGGGACGTGGTTGACTCATTATAGTCATCAGTGTGTGACAGTCAAGAAACGGAATTATTACGAGGTTGACATTAAGCTGCTAGGATGCAGACATTTTTATATTGACGGTGGTTTTAATTAATTTCTTCCATCCTTTCAATTCTATATAATTGCTTGAATGAGTTTTTAGTAATTTCACATGATTAGAAAATAATGTGATTTACCTAGATGGGGACAGCTTGATGGTGCAGTGACATTTAGTACAAACAGAGAGAAAAGGCCACAGAAATTGGACTTACCAAGGTCCTGCCATTGTTTTTTGGCAGTTATAATTTTTTTATTCCATTTTTTTTTTCAGGGGAACTCTTTCTTAATTTTAAAAAAAAATGGGTTTTTTTTCTTTAAAGTTTTTGATTGTTTGTTTGTTTGCTTAGTTTTATGTGCTATTTCGTATCATTAATTGGGCCAAAACAAAAAATTGTTCTGCTTCCGGTTTCCCTACCTACCCTAATTTTTTTAGGGGCAAAATGAGGGGGAAAACCAGAAAACAGTCAATCCTTTTACCATTGGCAACACGTAGACGCCTCCATATGATTGTGCACAAAAAAAGTGCACAAAAAAAATCCCTTCCCACCTACCCTATTTTCAAATGCCATGTAATCGGAGGCAGTTTTTTTTTTTTTTTTTTTTTGCCTTATATTCATAATTTGGTGATTCTCTCCTTTGGCAGGAGTGCACGGTGGAGTTCGAAGCCAGTCTGGTGGCCAAGTTTGACGAGCTGATCGAAGCACTGAAGAAACGAAAGGAGATGCTGATTCGTCAGGTGAGGGGCGGAGACAACTGAACAAAGGGAAGGGGGCACGTGTAATTGGGCTGTAAATGTTTAATATACATGTATGTTTTGTTTTCATTGCCCAATTTGGTCCGTATCATACTTCATGGGGTCTGTTCATGTTGTCGGTGTGGTTTGAGATGTCACGTCAATTTTTGTGTTTGTCAGCTGTCATTATAGTGTGTTGTCTGATTCAGTGTCGTGCTGTTGCCAGCACCCGTGTGTGTCTTGAACTATTGTTTGTTTTTTGAGGTGTTTTTTCAATTCAATTCAAATTTATACGTACTGCTTATTTTATTCGGGAAAAAATCAGAAATTTAGGTTTTTAAGGGTGACTTAACATTCAACAAGTAGAAAGTATTAATTTAATCTACAGAGACACTGAATTCACATTTTTAATATTACCACCATCATTGCAGTACACATGTCATTGCAGTGTCTGCAATTATTTGGCAATGTATTCCACAGATTGGCAAGCAGCCTTGCTTCACCCTGACCTTCTGTAACCTTTAACCCTAGAGACATAAAGAACTGCTCTCCACCACTCCTTAAACAGAAATCCATAGCCTAAGCACTTTATTCTGTCCAAGGATTTTGGCTGAGTATAGCTGATTCCAAGTAGCTGTCCCAAGTAGAATTTTATTCTAACTTCTAAGAATACTCTTTAAATACATGTATTCTCTGGACATTTGTAAACCCCCCCCCCCACTACATTTGAACAGTGTGCTTTGAGATTCCCCAGTTTGCATTTATATTATTTTTCATGGTAAAACGTACAGAAATACTGTAGGAATAAATGTTTATGCACACTTGTTTACATGTATTTGTAAACAGAAAGGCTCCCCTCACAAATTGTGGCATAAACTAATGGTGATGGGACTTCATGGGAGTGCTGGTTGAAGTCTTGGTTCAAGACTTGGTTTTATTCCCATAATACAGCAAGTCCCTGACAAGCATTGTAAAGCTGCTGTGGTAAAGCCAAGCCATGCTATCAACCAGATAAATCAAATCATGCAGTTTTTGGAACTTTGGCAGCGCTACCCAAGAAGTTCCCAGAATACCTCAATACAGCACGCATAAGGTATATGCTCAGAATTTTCTGGGTAGCACTGCCGAAATTCCCAAGGCTGGATGTGATTCATCTTGTCGATAGTGCTGCTATTGCAGCCTTTATTCGAAAATTTTTCAGTGGGTATATTTTTTAAGAGTTTGATTTAATTTTTAAGTGTTCACCCCTCCCCCCAAAAAAATCATGTCTGATGCCACCCCCCTATCCCATCCCCTGCAAGTTGGACCCCTAAAATATGCTAGCATGTCAGCACTGAATCTGAATTTTTCCCCTTTGAACATGAACAAGAGAAAGATCCACTTTCCTTTCTATCTTCAGAAAGGTGCCCTATGTTCATGCACATTGCATTATCCAGTATTTTACAGTAAACATCGATAATAACCCACTGTTGGCCCTCGGCTAATTGTCATATGTCGTGCTGACATATTTAGGCCTGTGATCCAGAAAACCGTAAGATTGATGCGATTTTATCATGCAGCACACTGAGCACAGCTACTCAAAATGTCAACAGTCAGTGGACACGTTGTAAATATGCCATTTTAGTGCCTGGAAAAAATCTTGGGTGAAGGGCTGCATGTACACTACTTGTAAAAGCGTAAATAAGCTGATATACGTGTACATGTAGGGCTCTGCATTGGAATTGGGTACCCGAGTACCCGACCCTTGATGTCAGGAAACCAGTTCCAGATTATGGGATTGGGTACCCGTAACCAACTTTACAAATTGCTTAGTAACTTCTCATACAATGAAAAAGAAAGGTCTTAATTGAATGCTATTTGAGGGAAATTTTCAAAATGAAAACCAGGCTACATGGGACAACAAAACATGTTTCACAATAAACGTATGACACTCACGAAAGATGCGAATTACACCATAAAGCTACACAGATGAAGCTCACTGTACACACTTGTATCTTGCTGTGTTGAAGCACCAATGTATTAGTTTTATCGTGCGGACCTTTATGAACAATCTGAACGGAAATTTCCAAGATGTTAATTTTGTGGTTGGGTTTCTTTAACGGGTACCGGTTTTTTCAGTTGGGTACCAGTTCCCGTACTACCCATAAATGCATGCCCCTAATAGTAATATCCACATACACGTAGGTTTTGGGCCGATTACAATTCTGATGCCACACCAGCATACCGGTAAATGCACTTTTTTACTTCAACAGATCTGTGACAAATTCTGATTAAAAATAGAGAAATAATAACAGTCACTGTTATTGTCTTTGGACTTATCATAAAATTAATATTGAAAGTGCTAGTCTTTCAACTCTGTGAGGAAATCCTCGTCATGAGAAGCTAATTTTAGGCTTGCTTTCTTTGGGTTTTTTATTAAAGTGAAAAAAAAATTTTCTTTCAGCAGGATTATGACTTATGACTGGATCACTTTAAGTAAACTTGAATACTTGATAGTGATTGGTCACTTCCTAGCGACAGCAGCATTACATCTTGTGTAGCATGATGGCCTTTCATCATGTGGCATTTTGCTACCCCTACCCTCGTAAACTAAAAGAAAAAAAAGCACGTAGATGCATCGCTTATGTTCAAACAGGATCGTCATGTATACTTTGTCTGTCAAGATTGTTTGAAGATAAATTCGTCATCCCACTTGAGATTGGGGAACACAGAAGATGCAGCGTGTCTGTTTCAAGTCGTGCTGCTTGGGCTTCAGCTTTTTTTTGAAAATTGAGACAGATGCACGACATATTTCCCATGTCCCTTCACTCCCACTCACAGGACAACATTGTCAGTGCAAAAATGCATTACTCATGTAAATGTAGTAACTTGTGCACAAATTTGTAACTGACCGATGAAATTTACAGTTGCTCGTAAACCTTGCCCATCCCCCGAGTAATCCATTATCGTCCCTCATGATTCCAAACATTTTTTTGCCAGAGCAACTTCACTCACTAACATCTTCATCTTCATCATCTTACTCCTACCCTCCTTCCCTGGTAAATGATTGCAGGCGTCGGAAATCAGAAAGAACACCGCCCAAGCAGAGGCCTTTAGAAACGTGGTACGTCTTGCTGTTTTGGGAGGTTTTTGTTATCCAGTTACTGACTCGGTACCTAAAGTCACAGACTCGGTGAGATGCGTAATTGATTAGTTCATCCTTAGTGGCATCTGGCCTACCTTAAATACATTTAAAATTTAGCAATCAGACCAAGCAGTGGCAAGGAAGCTCTAAGGCAATGGTTTTTCCCAGACTATTTTGGGTGCTGGTGCCCGAGCAACAAGAAGAAATTTGCACCCCGCTCTCGTGGGCTTGTGCATGTGTTTCTGATAATCAATACAAACAGCAAATATACAGCATTTATGCAGCCAATTGTTATATTTTGTCAGGTAAGGAAAACCATACCCCAAGGTATCCTTAGAATTTTAAGCAATTCCATCATTTCCTCTGCAAATAAAGATGAGAGCAGAAACGAAAGAAAGCAGAAAAGAAAACAAATTGTTTTATTTCAAGTTTGCATGTTCCTGGCGGAGGGAGCATTAATTACAGCAGGCCCATCTTGAGCTGAAAGAAAACCATACAAAATGTTATGTCTGTTACTGTAGATTGTTCTTTGCTTTTGCCCCCCGAAAAATAATAAATTGTTGTGCAAAGTCTTTACTCATAACGTCACAAAATCAGGAGGATACATCCTTTAGAGGGCCAATTAGAGATCTTGTATTCAAAGATACTGAAGGCATCTGACAATCATTGCTGCATTCATCCATCCTTTGTGCAAAATTTAATTGCTTCTCTCTCATCTCACTGGCAATCCCCAAGCGCTTGCCATCTAGCACAAAGAATGCACTTGTGACTTTAGACCAGTGTTAGTTGTAGACTAGCCAAGTTCTAAAAGCAAGGTTCACTGACACTTGAATTGGCTGATTCTTGACGGGGAGCCTTTAGACTTTTTTCAAACAAGTACATTTTTAAAATAGGAAGAAACTAGACGACCATTTGCTGCAAACATTACAATTTACAGGCTTATTAATATCCAATGTCCCATTTTGTCACTGCAAACTTACACCTACATGCATGGGTCCTTGCTCTATGGTTTGACTTGCCAGACAGACCTTCCAATCCTCATCTTAAAGCCCGGTTCATACTTCACGCGAAAGTAAGTGCGAAGCGAAATTCATATCGTCAGCAATGGTGGGCGCGCTCGAACGTATTGTTGACGTCACAAATTTCGCTTGGCATTCGCTTTCGCGTGAAGTAGGAACAGGGCTTAAGTGTCGGCCATTCACTAACAAGCTTGACTTTAAAATTCAAGATTGGCTCGGTGACTGACAGCCGCTGCTTGGTTATGTAGCCATATCACACATCCTCGATGACCCAAGAATAAGAATGATTTATGAAGATGGTGACAGCAAGTTTCACCAGACATCTCACCAGTCTGATGACTTAGTCTGCCCGAGTTAACTGGAAAACCTTTCTTTGACGTTTTGTCCGAACTGTTGAACTCGGCACGGTTACTTTATTTTTCAGTTCATTAACTAGCGAATGTTTATTTGTACATTCCTGGTGGATATTTATTTTATTGGCAGATTTCTTTTGGCCTGTCCTTAGTATCGAGTCAAGGTTCTTGAAATTATTTTCTGGTGTCTTGTTGAATACTGCATGATGTTGTGTACATTTTTTTTTCTGGTTCATAGTGGGGTAACTGTACACTTTTGGAGAATGTGTTTATGTACCGGTACACACATGTACATGTACTTGAATATTTTCTCACTGAGAATTAAAATAGTCGTTTGCATGCATGCTACATGTACCGTATGTGTTCCTTTTTATTTGGAGTTCATTTAAAAACATGTTAAATTTGGTTGTGTATTTTTTGTTACATGTATTCAAGTGGTTTGGTTCCTATGTTGAAATGTGCCCGTATGTGTGTTTTGGCATGTTTTTCGCAGAAACTTGAACAAAACATCATTAATGCATGTACTAACATACGTGTACAGTATCAAGTGGCTTTTTCTTTATATTATTTAAATTAATGGAAAATTTTAGGAAAACTTGGGTTAAAATTTGTTGAGGTTTTTTTTCCTGACCTGCGATAATGTGCGTACTGTAATCCAAAGTACACATTGGTTTCATTTTAGCCTAACTCAGGAAAAAGGACCAGGAGAGATGAAAAGTGTTTGGATTTTCCTCGTGTGGAGATGTTATGTAAAGTATTTTACCCAAATACGGGTTCTTTGGCAAGAAAGTGTACTTTCAAAAGCAGCCCTGACTGTTCAGGACGGAGGCTTAACCCAGTAGACTACCATTGCATGGCAATATCCCAGCTTAGTATTATGGCAGCTTTAAGCAGGTCAGCAGGGTCAGAGGGTAAGGTTTGGATCGCTTGGTCTGTTGGGGAGCTCAACTCGTCATGATGTCAAGAAGCCTGTCCAAACACGAGATGCTGAAGGGATGATAAGGAGTGAAGGGATGCAGGTGCAGTCAGGCCAAGACAGCTTGGAGTGAGGAGTTAAGAGGTGAAGGGGTCTAGAGGAGTTGTCAGCAAGTCTACCATGGGCAAGGGTAGATCCAGGGGAAGTGGAGGCTCCCCCCCCCCCACCCCGCTTCCGACTAACCAATGTTAATTAGTAGATAAGTGGGGGGGGGATCATTAAGTTCCCTGGATAACACCATCACTCAGTATTCGCTGAGAAAGTGTGACATCACCTCCTCCCTGGGTCATCAGGCTCACTTCCTTATAATAGCTCACGCACAGCAATACTGAAATTTGTATCCTTGTGGAGACATTTCTTTGTTCTCATGTAGTAAAATGTTTGAAAGTGAAGTTTGAAAATGCTCTTATTTTAACCAGAATTAATTTCCTTGGCTGAAATTCGGACTTTATATCCCTTTCCTATAACTCTTCCATTTGCGACAAATCAACCCACCTTGGAAATTCCTAGTTTTTGAGTAAAATCCATATATCTATTTCGTGAAAACCTTGTGGAGACGGTATTCATCTATAGAAATTGCCCTGTGGAGACGTACATGTATACAATCTTTTTCTTCCCTATTGTGTGCACGTCTCCAGAGGGCACGGTGTATCAGATCATTCCGTTAACGATGTATTACATGTATGTTTGACTCGGGCAATATAATCTTCAGGAACACAAGCTTTTGACTGTCTTATCTGTGAAAGTCTGAATGGGTATCAGTGGCAGACAGCAATTATAGGCAGGCCTTTCACAAGTTGAAACCTGACCCCCCAAAAATGGGCTGTGTACATGTCTACTAAAATGAGGTTGATTCTGATAGATTTGGGGGTTTCTGTTTTCTAGACATGGGACAGAATACTCGGGAGAGAGCTGAAGAAGAAACCACATAATATTAACCTCATTCTAGTATCCATTGCAAAGCATTTGACTTCAACGTGTACTGACATCCATGTATTATTATTGTACAATGATTCTTTGAGACATGGGCGATGAAAAGTAAATCAGTTGTCCAGAAAGATCTGCTCTGTTACTGGAATTTGTTGGTCCGTACCATTTGTTTGCAATGCAAATGAAACGTACGGCAGTGGTGTGAAATTGGTAGTAATGGTGTGAAATTGGGTAGTAATGGTGCAAGATCAGTGTTCGCTGGCAGGTTTAATATCCCAGTGTTGAACAGGTTGCATTGCCTGGCAGGTCGACCCTTCTCACAGAGTCATGTGACTGGCTCCCCAGCCTTCGATTGCCTGACAGTCACCTGTCCACTAGTCTGATGTCAGTTCCTTTAGACCCTAATCTCTGGGAAAATCTCCAGCCCCGCTGACAGGCTGCCTGTCAAAACATGGTCCAAACACCTCAGCAGGTAATACAAGCTGAGATGTGGACGGAACCGGAGACGGCAAGACAACAAAGCCAAGTGCAGGTTGGCAAAACTGATGTGTGCTGCACTCATTGGAAGTTTGGTTCTCTCACACAAATTACCACTGCTTTTGGGTGACCTGGTGTAGAAAACATAATAATCCCAGCTTAGTTAAAGGTAGAGTATATCATTTGCAGCTATCCAAAAAGTAACTGACAAAATTATTGTTGAAAAGCATACTTGGTTGAAAGATAGTAATGGCACTAAACTCCCTGTGAAATTATTCTTTCTGGCATGCTGTCATTTTGAAGAAAACAATAAAAGAAGGTCATTTCCAAAGATGAGCAGTGAATGGGTGCGTGCAAGCGTGACATGATGCACACATGCACGTGCAGTTGCTATAATTTGTCAGTTCAGTGTGTGACGTCGCATAGCTGCAATTGACTAATGAGAACGTGTCCCAAACACTGATTTCGGGGGCAATTCAAAACATGACTCAGCAACTTTTTTAATTGAAACTGAGATACTACAATATTGTTTTCTCGGAATATACCGCATTCACTGAGCTAAAACTTCATCAAGTTAATTGTTGAGCACCCTTCTTAGAGGCTTCTTTAGATTTTGAGCACTTTTGTTGCTTCAAATGAAAAAAAATGCACAAATGACAAATGATATACTCTACCTTTAAATCATCCCTCGCTTCTGTGAATTTCTTAGCTGCGATTCTTTAATACGATCCCTCCTGCTTTTTCCAGAATTGTAACTGAACAAAATTGGGACAAATTTAAAAACATAAAGCCACTGGACTGTACATGTACATGTACAACACCCCGAATGCATCAAAATACTACAAAACAAGGCGTTATATTTTGGGATGGTGTAGTTAGTTTTTTAAATACATGAACATTAAAACGAAAACAACTTGCAACCAAAGGCAGATGTTTTAGATGTACATGTACCCGAAGTACAGGGGACGTAGATTCAGTTGGGGATACAGTGGAAGGTCACTATACCGAACACTGCTGTACCAAACATTCGGCTATACCAAACATCATCCTTGGCTCCCAATTTTTGTGTATAACGTACCGAACTTTGTTGTTGAAAAATGTCAACAGAAGAGCGACAACTGGCTAATACTTCCCCAAGGAACAGAAAGGAAAAGCCACCTGTGTAAGCTCAAAAATTATGGAATTACAAAAAAAAGAGTCAAAGTCGTCTTTCAGTAACTACCAAGGTGTACAGGGTGAAGTTCTGCTTACGGAATTGAAAAGATGAATGGATGAGTTTGGCCCATCAGCGCATGGTTTTTAAATGCCACTACACTATAACAATGGTAAAAAGAGGGCGCCACTAATGTGTGAAAAACCACAAGCTGGTAAGTATCGGCTCAAAATCGCTATACTGAATGATCGCTATTATGAACAATTTCTGTGGATCTCGCGATGTTCGTTATTGCGACGTTCCACTGTATGTATTCCCGGCCCAAATGATCACTGCATGAACACAAATCTCCACTCATGGTAAAAATCATTCACAAGTCAGGGTCTTGTACGGTATTTCTCTACGCCATTGGGGATTTTGAATTGTGCGATCTGCTGCATATATTCAAGCACACACAGACAATCTGCACAACAAAAGTTCAGTCTGCCCACTGATCTGGCGATAATTAAAATCGGATAAAAATGATGAAAGCATCGAGGCTCGTGCATAATTGAATGCATTGATCACAGAGTCATGCATTAGCTCCAACATATCTGTCCTTGTTCATGCACCTGTACTACAGCTAGCAGCATCCACGCCGCCTTCCTCCTTTTATTTTGTATCTGCTTCCCAGGACATCACTCTCTACCCCCCAGCTAGCAAGGCAGATAAGAATCCCTTTTCCAGATAACATCAGCAATAATGCATGTACATGTGGGTATCTGTGAAAAGTCACAGCAATAATGGTCTAATATTATTCATAACATCAGAGGATGCAGCAAGCCCTATCCCTTCGAGCAGACTCACTTCCCCCCCCCCCCCCCCCCGAGAGACAATTAGTCATGTAGGCTAAAAGGTACATGTAACAGCAGTGTACTTTAATACGGTGTGGTATTTGCATGTGGCAACAAGCACCTAGTGTTGTTGTTCTGAGCTGGAGGAGCATTCAAACCTTTATGTTGTTTTTTGTGTTTTTGTGTTTTTCTTCACAAAACTGCAAATTGCAAACATCGATGTGAAAAACTTTTTTTTTTAAATCTCCACAAAGAAAATTTGCCTCATTGGCAAAAAAAAGTCAAATTGCCAAAAAAGAAAAAGAGGAAATTAGTTTCTTTTGTAACATGTATTAATTAAATGTTATTTTCTAGACAAAAGTATAAGTTAGTTGCGATCAGAGGCGTTGCCGAATGTATTCATGAAATGCAAACATGGGAACGTGTTTTTTTAGATTTTCTGGCGTGTGCGGCTGCAAAAAGGTGTATTTTCTCTGGAAATCCTTGGTAAACTCATTGAGCAAATGTACAGTGTATGCCAAACAATAAACCCTTGCGGCTATGGTATTGGGAGAGCTATAGCAGTATTTATCTTATGGAGACTCCTGTCTGGGTAGTCGAGACAAATTTAAGACTCTCGGTGAGAGAATAATTCAGAGGCCGACCACACGATTTGACTTGAGGCTGTTGTCTTAAACGAGACTTCTTGGCTAAGGAAAAATAATAATTTTTGATTTGTGGCGATCAGGTTTAAACTGGAATGCCGTCAAAATTCCAAGTAATTGGACTTGGCAATGGGACTCCTGGTGCCTCGTGGTTTTTAGCTGGTCAGATGGCCAGTGGTCATGATTTTCTGAAATTAAAATAGCTGAGATTTACAGGTATGAAAACCAAAATCAATTTTGGCCATTATTATACATGTATGTTTTGGTTGAGTAATTTTATATTGACTTCATTTTGTAGATGACATTTATTATGAAATATGAAGAAAAGGAAAGTGGATGTGAAACAGAAAGTGAACTAAGAATAAAACTTGATCTAGAGTTTTCTGTCACAAAAAAAGAACATTTTAAATGATATCAACGGCAATTCTTGTATTCAGTTGCTCTCTCTCTCTCTCTCTCTCTCTATGGTGCTGGGAATGAATTAGAAGTTTTCAACAACAAAAAATAATTGCATTCAGATATGAAATTCATTTTCCAATTTAAAGGCTGCAACCCTGCAGTCCAAAAGAACTTAGGCCAGGCTTTCTCTTCCAAACAATTTATCTTTCTACAGGTAAGTGGTTTCCAAAAATGAGAGCATTGACCTTTATTTGTGCACTCGCATTGGCACCAATATCTTCATTTCAAAGTGCAACAGCTTCAAGCCGTACCGGTACTTCAGAAAATGTGGTCGCTTCAAGCCTTAATATCCCTCGCGTCCCTGCCTGTGATACTATCCCACGGTGTTCGTCAATCGAAATTCAATGTTGCTCAACATTCAGCGTCACAAGCCATCCGAACAAATATATTTGCTCAATATTAAGTGACGAGCGTGCTTGATAAGTTTCATCGCGACTGCGTCCCAACGCACAGTAATTAAGTCCCCCGCGCTGTTGCCTCAACACGTCGATGATGGGGGCGGGGGAGGACGAAATACCTTGACAATGTTCCTGCTGGGTATCCCATGGGAATATCTGGAAGCCATATTAGTACAGCGATGGTGAAAACAAAGGATGCCCTGCACTTTAATATCTGAAGTGGGGGCTCTTGTTTGGATAAGAATTAAGAGTGCCATCATTGGCAATCAATGACTGAAGGCTTTGCACTATTGCATTGTTAATTGAAACTCTAGACACTGTGATTGTGACCAGCCTACTGCCCTAGATTTATTGTTGTATTGTCAGTATGTAGGCCTACTGTGGGCCTTGCTTCATATTTACTGGGCCAGTGCCTCAAATTACTAACAATCGGTTGGAAAAACATTCCAGTGTCTGATTGGAGTGTTTGTCTGATCAATCTAAGGAATGATTCATGGGATATTGATTGGATTGGAGTCACTGTCAACTGTGCTAGGGGAACACGGATGCAATAAGGGAGAAGGGGGGAAATGGTATGTTGCTCTTCATGATCGAGAATTTACATGCACCGGTACAAAGGTTTCATCTAAGGGCCTTTCAAACTAAACCTCCGTGTTGGACCTGTGTCGAACCCCAAGTTTTTGGCATCCCCTTTCACACTAGCAAGAATCCAACACTGCTTCTACTGGGGTCAAGTGTGCCTCATGGGTAAAATCCAACCCTGGTTGGGACCAGGGTTAAGATGCTCTACCCAGGTAGAAAACCAAAAAATCGACAACTGAACCGTGTACAATGTGTGAAGGCGATGTACCTGTAAAAGTGAACCTAGTATGCCTTGTTGATGACCCGGGGTGGACTGGCACTGATTTCTACCTGGGTCGGTGAGATGATGGTGTGCAAATGCCAAAAAGAATGAAACTTTGGGGTTAATTCATTTTCTTTCATATTGGTGCAATTGCCTATTTCTTCCAAAATTACTTCTTTTTTTAACTTTTTGGATTCCCGTAATATTTGATATACAATGTACCGCTATTTAAATGACTGTTGTGAGTGCTTATCAAGTCCACTAGTTGTCAATAAAAAATTAGGAAATTCAATTTTTTGATTTGATTTGATTAGATTATTATTTCATGAAACATCATGCACTTTTTTTTCTTTCAAGATCAAAGGGAAATTAATTAATTATGTTGATAAAAACATACATTTTTATGAATATGGAAAAAGGAGGAATTACTAATAAGCCCAAAAAAAAAAAATATTCGGTCTCTGGTCAGACCAAAGTTCCGGAATTGACGCGGCCACGCGGCTTTTTTTTTTTTTTTTTTTGCTTTTTTTTTTTCTTCAAGCTTGGATTGTACAGACAAGGTGGGGTACTATTTTGCTTTTTTGGTGTCCTCGTGTACATTGGTGTCCTCCATAATTTGCCTTGGTGCTTTCGATCATTTGCCTTTGTGCAATTTCCCATTTTTTGGTGCTCTTTGGTAAAAACAAATTGAGCAGATGCGGAAATAGAGGGCGCTGTTGGAGCTACCGCGGAACATTTTGGAAAAAAAAAAAGATCGACGCGCATGATTAAAATCGACGCGCGCGCTGACCAGAGACCGACTTATTTTTTTTTTTGGCCTAATGGTGGAAATAAACAGAACTAGGTTTTACATACATGTATCTCATTTGTGATTGTCTACTGATTTCGGTTTGGTGAATATTGCATGTGAATGCTGTACCGACATTTGTACGCATGTGTGTGTTTATAATTTTCTCTCTTTCTGTTTTGATAATGATTGTTTGCGCATTGACTGTTCCCAAATTAGGTAAACACCCCTTTCCATAATTTTAAACTTTTATGTTTAGGTTTCAGGAACAAATGTGTGTATTTTTTCAGTTCAATCAGAAAAACCTGTTCGAAAATTTAAAGGAAATGTCTCAATTTATTTGAGCCTTTCTTTTCTTTAACTTGCTGTAATGAATTTTTTTTGTTGAAAATGTGTATGTTTGTTGAAAATTTGGGTTTTATTTTATTTTTTATTTTTTGGTTGTTTTTGTTGTTTCCTTTTTAGTGGTATAATTTGAATGCATGAAAGATTGAAATCTTTGGATAATCCATTGAATTTGGTCACTTTTGTATTTTGTTCAGTACGTGTATTTTGCAGTATCTCCATTCTCTCGTGAGAGTTGCATTAACATGCACTTTAAGGGTTTTTTTTGGCATTTGTGAAAATATTTAGCAGCCTTTCCTTGGGTAAAATAATTATATGTAAGAGCTTGACATTCAAATTGTTAAAAAAAAGACCCCCCAAATGGGCCAAAAGCAAGAGCAATAACTGCTATTTGGTTTTGGAGTTGAGCATTTAAATGTGGGGGGGGGGCCCTCTGCAGTACTTGCATCTAGTATCTCACCATGGAGCTGTTTTATCGTTCCATCGCCTCACAGACAATGCACTTACGTACATTGAAAGGCAGCCAGGCTGCACCATTGTATCAGATACTGTTCGGCCATTGACCAGATTTATCTCGTCTCATTCAGGTCCAGAGGGAGCGCGAGTTTAAGACCAAGATGATCAAGAATCACATCGGGCAGTGCAGCTGCAAGCTGAAGCAGACGACCGGCCTGCTGGAGTATGCCATAGAAGTCATGAAGGAGCAGGATCCTGCTGCCTTCCTTATGGTAAATGGGTGGTCCAAATGCGAGGGCGCTGTTCACAACTAGCTATCCGTATCCGTTTTTTACTTACGTGTAGCGAGCGAGATATGCGTGTCGTCTGCACGTTTAGCGGATAGTGAGTGGCGTATGACGTCTTAATTGATGACGTATCCGTCACACTAAACGTATCCGTTTGCATGCGAAACCTCTCTAACAATAATAATAATTTACACTTATAGAGCACATTACATTAACATCTCCATGCGCTTTACGACTAAGATTATATTACTGTTGCATTACTGTTATTTATGTTATAATGAAAAGTTACACTAAATAGCATTACTATAATACATAACATATGAACAGTTACATTTCTATTACATTACATTTATATTACATTACATTACAATTTCATTACACAAGGCAACAAAACTTGAGTACTATTTGATGTTTAACCCTAAATACCTCGTACACACCAAACATATGTGACCTGTTCTCTCAAAATCAGACTTTTCTGGGCATGAGGTCAAAATTGAGATTTTTGCATATTGTTAAAATATGTTCTGTTTCCTTTTAATAGGTGGTTTATTTTTTGAAACCGGTCATTCCTGCGCCAAGTTATGCTATTTTGAAGTTCATTGTGTTGAAAAGTAGAAAACAGAGAAAATGGCCACAAACTTCACAAAACAGTTATTTCTTTAATTGATATACCTTAAGAAATCATCAAAAATACTATAATTAGAGATCAAATTAGGGTTTCAAACTTTTATAGTATATTTTAGACATGCTCAGGATTACAAATATGCAAAAATTAGAAAATGGAAAAAAAATCACCCCCACAGCGTTTTTTGGCCCTATCTCAATTTCAACCTCTGCCCAGAAGCGTCTGCTTTTGACAGAACAGGTCACATATTACTGTTGCATTACTGTTATTTATGTTATAATGAAAAGTTACACTAAATAGCATTACTACAATTTATAACATATGAACAGTTACATTTCTATTACATTACATTTATATTACGTTACATTACAATTTCTGAATGGCACCCATTATACAACGCCTGACTAAATCCGCGTCATCTGATTGGTGGTTCGTTGATCACAATGTGTTATTGAATTATTCGTCCCAACCCATGGCCCGGCTACACTGCTAGAAGTTCTGTTCCACGGTAAACAGAAGTTCCATTGCACGGTCTCACGTTTGGTGGCTCTGACCAGTCAGATGACGAGGATTTATTCAGGTGTTCTATATAAAGCAAATAATGAATGTTTCACATTTGTGCAATTGAAAGAATAATTTCATTAGTTGACAGATGGAATGTTCCATTCCACCAGGTGAAGCCAAGTGGAATGGAACATTCCATCTGAAATAATACTTACCATTGCACTTACAAGCATTCATTATTTTAATACTAAGCTCTATACTAAATGGACTGGCTTAATGCCAATGCATTGAAGCATCTGTCAGCCATCTTGGGTCACACCATAAAGCGTGTTCAATTACTCTCCCCGCGCTTACTTGTGCCTCTAAATCGGGCATAGTTGCACATGCGCAATACGTGAGAGTGTTTGTGCACAAAGTTATGGAAAAGTTGAAATTTACCATGACTTTAGCATGGCTATTTGCAAATCTGCATTTGTATTCTATGCCAGAGTGCTATCGAAGCCGATATGCCCAAAACCAAAATGCACAATCATTAAAAATGAGCGTTCATTTTGCTCTGTGCAAACAAAGCAAACGCCTGCATTGTACTTGCACGTTGCATTTAGAGTACATTATTCAAAATTCATTCCATCTAATGTCATTATGTTCTACAAACACACACATGAATTCAAAACACCTGTGCTCAGGACAGCTTCAAAGTGTCTCCGCGGGGGAGTGAGAAGTTAGCGCTCTAGTAATTTAATATAGCTCTATGGTTGCAACCAGTCTTGTTAGTGTAGAGGCCAGTCATATCACATCTCCCTAAAACATGCAAACCCACTTTTTTTTACAATGCAGTTGCACAACTCACACCCTTGTCAGACTAGTGATCCAGAGTTATGCCAATTCAAATTATTTGGAAAAAAAGTACCGAGTTAGACATTTGAAACCATTAAGAACAACCGTGTTGAAATATAGACCGCTGAGTGTATTCTTAACATGAGATGCATCGTTTGAACAGGCCTCATCTCAGAAACAACGTGCAGTCTCAAATTTGTCATGAGTTCATTAGTATTTTGAAGCTTAAAGCTATAGTCCATCATGTGCAGCCATCCGAAAAAGTAACTGGCTTATTATTGTTGAAAAACATACTTGGTTGAAAGATAGTATGTGGACTAAACTCCCTGTGAAATTAATCTTTCAGGCAAGCTATCATTTTGAAGTAATCAACGAAAGACTGCCTTTCCAACGGTGCATCTTAAAAAAAAATGCACCGTTTTGTTATTCGGCGCAGCGCGCGCAAGCATTGGCACGACGCACAGGCGCGGCGCGCGCGGTTGCTATAATTTGTCGGATCAGTGCGCGACATCGCGTATAACGGCAATTCAAAACAATTCAAAACATGATTCAGCAACTTTTGATTTGAAATTGAGATCCTAGAATGCTGTTTTTCTCAGAATATACAGCTGAAGCTGAGCTGAAACTTCATCAGGTTAGTTGTTCAGTATCCTTCATTAGATTTTGAACACTTTTGTTGCTTCAAACGAACAAAATGCACAAATTACAAATGATGGACTATATCTTTAACCTAAAATCTCAGTTCTACACCCAACAGCCTCCGGGTGATTTGCCACAGAATAACCCTAAAGCATGATAATCATGCCGACGGTAATTTCCCCTGATGTTATAGACTTTTGGGGGTTGTTGAGGGGTTATTAATAGAAAACTGGGCCAACGACATTGCAAGCAGACACTGTGCAATCGCTGCCAGCCCTAGGGAACTTACAACAGCAAGAATGCACTCCGTGATTGCGATTGATTTCGGCGTTCAAACCAACATCTTCAAATAGCTATGGGAGTTCCACAACGATCACACTTTTCTCAGGATATCGGAGACAAACGGGTGAATGACTGACGAGGCTGATTATGTTTCTCACTGGTGAACGGTTTCCAAAAAAATAATTCAGCGCGTGACTTTTTTCTATTGTGACTCGGGGAAAAAGGGAGATCGGAGTAGCAGAAGTGATTTCTTTTTTTTGGGGGGGGGAGGAGGGGGTGGAGGTGTTGTCATTAAACTTGATTGAAAAGAGCTAGCTTTTGTGTACATCTTCATCTGATATCTTACACAGTCTCTCTGGTACTCGAGAAGTGAAACCTGTCCTTTGATTTGTGACAATTTCCCAAAGCCCCCAACCCCAAACGCCTCCCAAAATATCAAACAATTTTCACAATGCAGTGCGGCACCAAGAGTTTGCCATGGAAAGTCCATTTTTCAAGTTGACGGTCGACAAAACATGACCCATTTGAATGAGTGTCAGTAGACAACTTGAGCTAATTTGTTATAGATTGGGGCATAGTGTTCTGCCGCCTTACAAAAAACACTGTATTGATAAAAAATAAAAGAAAAGGGCATACAGATACTCGAATCATACGCTTACGAAAGTACTGACCGGAACAACGAACGATTTCAAATGTCCCGCGCTGCGAATTTGTCGACCATCTCCCACAATGCACTGGGAAAAGTGAACTCTCCGTGGCAAACTCTTGGCACACTGCATTGCGAATCGCCCAAATTAAGTAGCTACATTTTAAATCTCAAAACTGCTTCCATATTATTACCTTGTAGTACATTGACTTTCAACTCACTTTCATAAACACAGATTCAGAAACATCTCAGATTTTACCTTTGAATGATTTAAATGTTCTCTGGTATTTTTTGTGTTTCTGTGGTACTGGAAGCCTGAAGAAACTTGTTGAAAATTAAATATAAAGAAATGATCCAAAATAGTGACGAAGGGCTCTAGAATGCTAGTATGCACTGAAACCATGTCAGTTTTGTCGCCTTAACTACATGTACCAGAGCCCCAATGCACCATTTCAATGTTTCATAAACACATTCAGCTCAGACCCATTGTACAAAATAAAAAGGGACGAAGAACATGTATCCCGCAAAGCCCCCTGGATGATCAAATGAGATTCTTCGTGGGATGAAATTATTAAATCCAAAATCCTGGTGGTTTTATGTTTCCCCTCAGGGCATGTTTGAAATGGAGGCTGATGACTCATATGAGCATTCAGGGATAAATCATTGTTGAATTCTCATTACCCCACTTGCTTCAATTTCAGTCCATATGAAAGGAAATATTGAGATATTGTAACATGGTAATAGGCAGAGTCATATGTTCTTGGAGGATTTATCATTGTGGTTACCGTGGTGATGGTGCTAGCGCCCGAGCATGCAACTACATTGTACATACATGTATACCTTACATGCTCACAAATGAAATTTAACATCAGGTACAAACATAGAAGAGTTTCTATATTACAATGTACATGTATATATGTGATGCGATCAAGCTAAATGAGTCGTTTGTCGGGGAATTTTCATTTGGAGATACAGGCCAAAATAGGGCCACTTCATCACATCACTTCATCACATCTCTTGGTGTTCCAACTTCCATAATTTTTGAACTAAAGATGGTATCAGCATGCGGTTTTCACAGCAGTAATGCTGAGATTATGCTCTTTTCAAAGCTGTAATAAAAAAAATCTTTTGACCAGGGTCAGACAAACGACTCATGTAGGTTATCGTATCACATATTTGAATCAAATAATTGAATAAAATGGTATGAGTGATAGACTGGAGGAGGTAGAAAAAACCTAATTAACAGCAACATTTATAGTTGCTGACACCCAACTTTCCCTACACCTAACTAAACACTTGCATTTCCTTGAGAAACAAACTTTGAAACAAAACAGTATTTTAATGAAAACAAAAGACTTAATATGCTCCACAAGAAATGTTTGTCTCCTTAACCCTCCCCGTCATGCCCCCCCCCCCCTCCTCAAAATAAAAATAGCACCTGCTTTGTGGTTGAGCAACTAATGAACAATTAGTGAACACACACACATTTTTGTTCCGTAACTGTTGGGACTACATACGTGTTGCCACGTGTTATGGGGGCTGAAGACACTTTGAGGACAGCAGAAAGTCCCTATAACTCGGTCTTAATTTCCCTAACAGTAAAAAAAACTTCTCCATAACATGGCGACAGCCCGCCCTCAAATACTTGTTCCGTAGGGACTACACACGAGTTGTCCCATGGTACTATGGGGACCGAAGACACTGGGGACAGCAGAAAGTCCCCATTACTCGGTACTTGGTTGGTTCTTCTCCTAAGGACTTCCACAAGGGAGTATAACTAGGAGGCCAGAAACACCGAGGCAAACCCCTTCTCTTAGCGATAAGTGTTACTGGGTTCTTTTACGTGCGTTAGGCCTTACACGGGACATCCGGCTTAACGTCCCATCCGAAGGACGAAGCAATAATGGTTAAGTGCCTTGCTTAAGGGCACAAGTGTCTGGGCCCGGGCTCGAACCCACGCCACTGTTGCCTCTGAAACACCAGAGCATGAGTCCGGTGCTCTTAACCGCTAGGCCATGACACTCCAAAAAAAAATTTCGTTGAAAGCGTAAACATTTCTCTAGCTACAAAAAACTTCTCCATAACGCAGTGACGGCCCACCCACACACACACACACCATTTCTTCTAAAGTAATAGTATCACGGTGATACTACATAATAACTCTGCCACTCAAGTACATGTACCTGCAACTGTTCAAACATAGTTTTGAAAAATGCTTTCATGTGGCTGTAATAAACTTGAAATCTTTCTTTTTAGACTCTTGCATAGGCAAACAGAACTCAGAACTTTACAGTCAAACACTCTCCATCATTACACTTCTATCCCCCATCCAAAATTAATTTCCCGTTCGTGATTTGGTTTTCCCACAATCTCCCGTCTAGGTCTCTGGTGCTTTGATCAACCGCGTCCGTCACACCGAGGTCTCCTGGAAGAAGGAGATGATCTTGGAGCATCGAGTGGATGCCGAGTTTGATTTGACTCTGGACAGCGGGCCGGTGCTCAGAGCCATCGAGCGCCTCAGTTTCAAAGAGATGAAAGGTAAATGTTTAACGGAGGGAAGGAAGTAGATGATGATGATGACGGAAAACATTTGATTAAACTCTAGACAGCCGACATGCATCATAAGTAGATTGCACCATTAGTAAACGTCCGCAAAATAAAAGCAGAATCAATTTCTTTCCGCAACATCATTTGTTCAATCTTCAATCAGGGATGTTCACGACTGCAGTCTTTAGTAAAACACAATACTGCAGAATTCCAGTGTAATGAAGGGAATTGTGGTTCCAGTGATTTTTATTTCTTATGAAAATTTTACTGACACTCGATGTAATTATTCACACAGCCCGGGGGTTAGGGTCAGTTGTCACTTTTGTTGCATTCACAAATAGACAGGTCACAGTTATATCCTTTAGTCATAAATACCTAAGACAGGTTACCCATTCCTATTGGTCGAGAGCCCATCACATAACCAGTTTTAAATGGTTGATAAAGACCGGCTTGCTGGCTTTGAACACTTTTCCTGTGTCACATGAAATTTGGACTCCTATGAAATCCGGTGCCAGTACCGTTTTATGGGTTGAACGTTCATAATCCTCACGTAAGAATGTGCAATACTACTAGTGAGTCAGTATTTCATAGTCCTAAATTTACACTACACTGGCACAGCTGCATTTGACGCCACATCAACGTGGGCACCAACCTCCATAGTTGTTTACGACTACTCGCAAGCAGGCCATAGCATAGCTAGAAAGGTGTTTCGAAAAACATGAAGTAAAATTTTCGAACAAAATCTTTGGAAATTTATAATTTTTGACTTGTTTTGACTTTTGGACCGTAAATGTTTGATTTCTTTTTAGCATTGGGCTCGGGTCATTATCAGCATCCAGACTCCAACCGGTCTTAAAACTTAGTGTTTAAAACTGGCCAAGGACACATTCATTCCCTTATTATTGAATAGCTATTAGCTTTCATTTATACATATACTACTGGTATTTAACCCTAGATTTTGTAACTTGAAATATGATATGCTTGAAATATTTACATAAAACAATTTGACAACTTACTTTCACAATAGACTGATTCCATTCAGCCATGCTTCATTGTGTTCTGACCAATGACTGGCATGATTAGTGTCCTACATGGGTGCACAAAAGTCTGACGTATGCGTACGTGCCTATTACGTGCAGGGTTGGAACATATATTGTGGCATTGGAGGGGCACACGTTTTGCTGCCTGTGTGCACAGAGGGCATGAGGCCCAGTGGATCAGTGTATTGCAGTCATTCAATGATGAGCATCGTTATTCTTTTACAAACGGTGTTGATATTTCTTCGCGTCAGTGCAACAAGGTCGTAACTCCATTCTGCAACAAAGACGTATCTCGCGCGAATACGCTCCGTGCAACAAGGTCGTATCTTGACGTCCATTGACTTTGTGTGTACATCCGGGTCATTTTAAGTGAGATACAACTTTGTTGCACGGACGCGACGATTTATAGTATTGTTTGATTCAGTGATTATTTGATTGGTGATTGTCTGTCCATAGTGCCTGATCCACCAATCATCATCACGGAAAACTGCAGCGCCGAGAACAACAGCGTGACGCTAGCCTGGCAGCCACACCCATCCAGCTGGGTGGAAGGCTATGTGCTGGAACTTGATGACGGAAACAATGGCGAGTTCAGGGTAGGTAGACGTTGCTGACGAATTCACTTGATATCCAAATTAATGGCACTGGTTGTACAGCAGAATGCTTATAACAATTTTTTTATTTTTTTTTTGGATGGGCAGGAGTGGGGGAGGGGATTTCGGGGGAATTAACCCCCCCCCCCCCCCAGACCCTCACCCAACCACAGACGTGTGTGAACACCGGCAATCGTGGACTCCCTATTGTCCCTAATCCACATTCCTTTGTTTGTACTCAAATTTTTAGTATAGCTCTCATTGGTTTTGTACACGATTTTCAATCGTGGTCTTTCAGTCAATCGTGGACCCTTTGTTTGTGCCATTACCCTTTACACATGCTCCCCAACCCCCACCCCTCCCCTCCCACCCCAGCCCTTTGAAATTTACTGTAATTTCTCACCTCTTAAAAACGTATAGTTCTAAGCTTTAAATACTAAAGACCCACTCAGAACTGTTGATGATCGATGTTGTTTTAAAATCGCTTTTTGCCCCAACCTTGACATCTATCTAAACCCTAAAAAGGCTCTCCTGGTATATTTTCCTGTTAAAAATTTATTAATCATAAATATGGATTCATATAACAATGTTATTTTAATCAATCATATACAGTTGGTAAAGTCTGCCATTTGCCCTTTTTGGGGGGGTGGGGGGGTGGGGTGCTTGACTGTTTGTGTTTCTTGCCCTCTCCACCGTCTACATGCAAACCTGTTTGTTAGCGTATTTGATGTGTTTATGAGTTGCATTATATGAACAAGGCAACAAAATTGCCAAATTAGACTGAACGGATGGCGTTCATATCCGAGGTACAAAGTTTAATGAAGAGAAATGTGATTTCCATTTCATGCCAACTAAACATCGGCTCTCACAGAACAGGTGAAAGGCCGGCATGATAAAGCGTTTCCAAAGGCTTAATGTGACGCAATCATCAAGGAGAACAAAACAACTTGACAGAGACTACTGGTTGATGGTACATTCTGGATTGATAACGGGCCCTTGAAAGTGGCAATTTATTGGGCTGTTTGTGTTCGCTGAAGAAGCACTCGAGAGTTTTTCCGGCGATGAGTGGTGCGATAATGTTTCGATGCATCTTCGAGTCCCAGTTGTTAGAAAGTTGCAGCTTGACTCGTGACTGCATGGAGAGAGATATTTACTGTAGGTGGACAATGAGGCCGTTTACAGATAAGGCTGATCCTTCAACGATAATTGCTGTAATCAAAGGACATACATGTACACTGTTCTACTGTTTTAACTTGTTCTTTTTATTTGGGAAGAATATGTGTGTTTTCATATGGGTGTGAGGACCTTAAGTCTTCAAAATATTGTTTTAACAAAACAAGGCAACCTAGTAAAGCTGGTCCCAGAGTGCACAAAATGCTACTCAATTCGGGCGATTCACAATGCAGTGCGCCACCAAGAGTTTGCCACGGAGAGTTCATTTTTCCCAATGCATTGTGGGAAATGGTCGACAATTGGCAGCGCGGGACATTTGAAATCGTTAGTTTTTCCGGTCAGTAGTTTCGTTAACGTATGATTCGAGTAAATGTTTGTCCTTTTCTTTTATTTTTATCAATACAGTGTTTTTTTGTAAGGCGGAAGAACACTATGCCCCAATCTATAACAAATTAGCTCAAGTTGTCTACTGACACTCATGCAAATGGGCCATGTTTTGACGACCATAAACTTGAAAAATGGACTCTCCATAGCAAACTCTTGGTGGCGCACTGCATTGTGAAACGCCCGAATTGATTCAGAATGGCTAAAATTTCATAGAATAAGCTGTAGTGATAACAGGATGGAAACGAAAAATCCACTATCACCGTTCGCATGGAGACTTGACTTATAGCCATGACATGAAACAGTCTAATATGCGTGCGACAGTCATTCAGTGAGAGACTTACGCAAGTTTAATTCACAAGTGACATATCGACTTTCAGTCAGCCAATGTGTCAGTGACATTCAGTCGCGGAGTATTAAGTCAGTTAGTCAGTCAGCCAGTGAGTCAGGTACAGAGAAGACTATAGGCACAAATTGATGAAGTATTAAACAAGGGTCTTGACCTTGAGAAAGTTTTGACCTTAAAAAAACTTGTTTGGATATAAATACACTTGAAATCACAAATACAACTGCATGTAAGAGTCTTCTTATCATAAGTGGATGGTGTACATCTGGTGTTGGCCAGTTTACTCTCTATACTCCCCAAATGCTAAGCTGTCTGTGCCTGTATCTCTGTGCGCTTTCAGGAGGTGTATTATGGAAGAGAAACAATGTGCACTGTCGATGGTCTCCACTTTGACACTACCTACAATGCCCGAATCAAGGCTTACAATCACGCTGGAGAAGGAGACTACAGCGAGGGGATTTGTCTACAGACAGCAGAAGGTAGAGTGGTTATTAAATCATTAATACATTAATACAATCTTAACCGGACCCAGCCAAAACGTTTGTTATATCAGAATTTGTATTAACAGAGTTTGTATTAACGAGAATCATACATTGTACGTCTTAAATGGACATTCATAAATACCTAGGACAGTTTACCCATTCCTGCTGATCGAGAGCCCATCACATCACATGGGTGGATTTAAACCGCTGATAAAAACGCCGGCTGGTTTTAAACACTATTCCTGCACTGCTGCGTTCTGTGCCACTTCATGCAGTACGCGCCGCGCACGCCAGTCTCCATAAAAGGAGATCTTTAGCACGTTTTTACCTTGCGTGAGGCACATACCATAGAAATGGCCAGGGGTAAAACTATAGAACAGAATCGTTGGAAAATTGTCAACGTTCAACTTGTTTAGACTTCTTGACCGAAAGGTAATTATAAATGGGAATAAGTTTGTGCTTGGCCAGTATTAAACAAGTACAGTTAGAACCGGCTAGGGGCCTGGTCACGGATAATTATCCAGTTTTAAACGTTCTTGTTTAAAACCAGCCAAGCATATATCTATTTCCTTATTAATGGAGCATTTTATAAAGATATATTGTCCATGTTTGTTAATAAATTCTTTATCCTAAGGTATTTTGACCTATTTATTCGTGTACTATGTTTAATAAAGAAAAAATGCAAGCCTCAGAAAAAGGGTTTTATTGTGTGTTGCTTTTGCACACAAACAGAAACCAACTTGTGATTTGACTGGTTACCATTCAACATTATCAATTCTAAAAGGGGCAATAAACCAGTTAAACACAAAAGTAGCGTGGAGGGAAGAATAGGGGAAGAATAATACCCATTTCAGAAAAGTTGCCCCAAACCAAATAATAGAAACGGACTTTGGTTGCAGATAGGCTAACTTGATGAATGAATTTTCCCATGGACTCTCGAGTCATTCCGAATGAGTACAACAGTCAATCTTTCAACTTAGTCGCTTCTATTTCAGTGAATCATTTGGTTTGGCCCAACTCTGCCAATCTAAATGGCTGTTAATTTAAAGCAATGAGCACGCGGCACAAAGCCCGACATTGTCCAACAAAAGAAACTGAAATACACAGAAATTTTCTGGAAAGAACATTTTTGAAAAAGAGAGGGGCTTGTCACCCTTCCCCCCCCCCCCCCCCCCAGCACACTTTACGAACCTCATTGGTGCAAGAGGCCGACTCTGGAAAACATTTCACAACTTGGAACACATGTGTGTACATAAATTTATGTGCTTTCTCTGAACTTAAGATTCACTTTTGTAGTTGTCTCATCGCAACCTTCTGATGATGCATCTGTTTATCACAAAACTCAGTGGCAAGATCCCATTTCCGTCTCTCTGACCTTTCTGTTGTCTGCATTTCAGTGGCTTGGTTTCAGCCTGACCCACGCACTGCCCACCCAGACATCATCTTCACCAACGACAACATGACGCTGACCTGCAACACCTACGACGAGCGCATCGCGCTGGGCAACGTGGGCTTCTCCAAAGGCGTCCACTACTGGGAGATCACCATCGACCGTTACGACAACCATCCCGACCCGGCCTTTGGCGTGGCGCGCTACAACACGGCCAGGGACATGATGCTGGGCAAGGACGACAAGTCCTGGTCCATGTACGTGGACAACAATCGCAGCTGGTTCATCCACAACAACGCACACGCTGACCGGACCGAGGGCGGCATTGACGTGGGGTCGGTGGTCGGCGTCCTGCTGGACCTGAACAAGCAGACGCTCAGATTCTACATCAACGACTGTAAGCAGGGACCCGTGGCATTCACTGGTCTGACAGGCGTCTTCTACCCAGCAGTCAGCCTGAATCGTAACACTCAGGTGACTTTTCACCCCGGGTTGGAAATCCCAGCTGACTGTGATTAGTAGCCGAGCCGCATAGGTGAGCTCGCCAAGCTTGGATGTAAACCCTTTGGTGCACAAATTATTTGGCCTAGATGCACAGATTGTAACATTTCTGTGGCAGTCACAAGCGACCTCCCTGTGCACCAAAGGGTTGGACATTTTGTCTGTTACTTGTTTGTTACATTGGTCAGCAGTTAATTGACTCAATTGGTCAGTTTTATATGTGCTTACGACTGAGCAACAGTTGAATTTGTTAGTATTTATTTTCCTGCCTACAAGCTTATTACTGTGTAGCACCTCACAGATATAAAAGTATAACATCTAACATTTTACACAATAATCAAATTTTTAAAGATCAGCTTCAGTATTTGACTAGTAGAATCCACTCGCTTATTGTGATGTTTAACCAGTTCACGTCAGGATTATTTTGACAAGAACGGAACGAGGCGCAGGATTTATTTTCATTCGACCTCAAGCCAGGCGGGTTGAAGCCATCACCCTCGGGCAGCACACTCATATTTCCAGCCTTGCTCGCTGCGAGCGGGTCGCTGACAGATATTTCTGGCCTCGCTCGCTGCGTGTTTATCGTCATTCGTTGCGAATAGCGCAAAACTTTGCGTGTATACGTGGCCTCCGGCATGAACTGGTTAACAAGTCATCCACTGTTCAACCAACAGACTCTACTTATTTTATTACTTGGCTACTGTTGCTCATGAACTGCTCTCTGAATATCGACCAATGAAAAAGAAGCAGTAAACAGAACAAAGCTAGTCTGATTGGTCAAGGGCCTCTTACTATTTGATGTTCTTTGTTGCATTATAATGACTGGGCAATTTATTTCTGTATGAAAAACACGGTCAAAATGGCACAGCAAAATGCACGGCTTGCCATGCCAGCAGCTGTACTTAAGCATGTGAATTGTACTTTGCTTAGTTACTTACTACACATGCAGTATATGTAGCTCAAGAAAGATGTTGAAATGTTATTTTGGATTTTGGCTTCTTTGCCCAGTTTCATGTACATTTAAGCAAGCATACTAATATCTGACACAGAAATATTTGGGAAACCATCCGATAACTTGATGTACTCATGACAAGTGGCCCGTCACAAGTATTATTATAGGTAAGGTTAACAATGCCACATTAGGCTCATCGTTAGTGGGGGGTTTTGCGTACCAATTAATTAGAATAAACTAATTTTTATGAAGTGGTTTATGTGCAAGTTCATTCATAATCAGTGATGAAAGGAGAAATGACTTGGTGCGAAGAGGATCTTAAGTTTCCTTTTCAAGATATCTAAAGCAAGCTTAAGCTGCCTTTGCATGCGTGCATTTTTGTGTCTCTGTTTTTGTATTTAGGCCTAAACTATATTGGCTCTGTGCGCAGACAAGAGAGGGCGCTCTTTTACCAGTTTTGAGAGCCCCGTGGATGAAACACATTCTGGTTGGCACGTGTATAATGCAAGGTATGCGCGACTTACTTTTGTTCTCCCCCAACTCTCCCCTCCTTACCGTTGAGGGGGTACTTGTGCACGGAGCCCATAGGCATATGCAATGGACTGAAACACACACTGCATGGAAAGGCAGCTTATTACCTGATGGTGTAAATGTTGCACGCTCCATATGTTTGTATTTACTACTTGCCTAGGAAAGGCGTAGTTTATCCAAAGTGGTCATCTTACGAATTCTTATATATTTTTAGCTCAATACATATTGTACAGATATTTATAAAAGCCGACAAGAGAATTTTTGGCTACTTATAGAATTTTGAGACGATTGCAGTATTTAATCTACTCGTGTGCTAAGTGTGCTCTGTGTTATTTAAAATGCTTATCGGTTCTGTTTTATTTGAATTAGCTAGAACACTTGCCTGACAAAGTTTATAGATAAGCATTATTTGTGGGGCTATTTTAAGAAACCTGTTATGTAGTTTAGAATTGCTTATCTAAATGTTTAGATTATAACTTCATTTCTTTCATCGGTTGATAGATACAGTCGACTCCTGTTAATACAAACGCAACTGGACCTAGCCAAAATGTTAGTTATATCAGAATTTTGTATTAAGAGGACCGATGGTCACATTCATTGTGCACATTAATTTAGTCGGGACCAAGACATTTTGTTTGTTATAACCAGAATTTTTATTAATAGTGTTTGTATTAACAAGAGTCGACTGCAATCTGTTTTTACTCATTTGTATGAATAATCATGGTATTCATATATAATGTACGTCTTTCTGTGGAGCAGTACTGCATTTCTTTCACTGAAAACTGTAAGTATTGTTCTGCTATAACATAGAATTAGTGTAAAAAAAAGGAATCAAATGTATGTTTAATTTAAAGCTATTCTTAGTACTGATTGATATATAACTCATGCTTTTATTCCTTAGGAATATCGTTGCTACATTTAGGTTGCTACGGTATTAAACACTCTGTGAGTGGATTGAATGAATTGAAGGCACAGTCACCAAAGTTATGAGTAGTTTGAAGTTAGGTCCGTATTGTATTCACTGTCTAAATTCAAAATTGATCACTTAGTCATTTCATGTGAACGTCTTGGTACCAGACACTCACTAGTCTAGTCACAGACTCCCGTGTTAGAATTTACCCACTTGTTATCTGCATGAATATTTCAGTGCAACCTCGAACCCACTACACATACCAAAAACGAAATGTTTTTCTCTGCACTGTAATGGGGACATGTACTTAAATGCTGCAGACTTTGTGTAAAAGATGACATTTAAGGGAAAAGTTGTGCACTAAAATGTTAAAGCAAATCTTGTTTCTCAATTTTTTTTTCCCAAAAAATATTCAATATTGTATACCAGTACGGTTTTTTGTACCTTACATATATATGCAATAATATCAATACCTTTATAAAAGTTCAGCATTTCATTTCATTTTTGAAATAGCTTGGTAATTGGTGGGGTATTTTTGTATGCCGTGTTGGTCATTAAAACCACAAAGTGTTCTCAGAAACACTTTTTGAGTTTTGGTATTGTAACTTCAAGTATGATTCAAGAATAACCGATATATCGTCTTCCCAAGATTGATGTTTGTGGAGCAATTATGGGAAGGTATAGCATTTTGTAACAATGAGTATGCAATTTTGAAATAGGTAGTTTGGCAAAAAAGCTTTTGAATGTAGCAACATTTGTGTACAACGCGTAATGTTTTTTGTTGTCATTCTAGCCACCGAGAATTCCTATGAAAATGCTGTTCCACAATTTAGTCTAGCCTGTATTTTGGTTGTTTTGGTGTGACAATTATCCGCTTCAAGTTTTGTTATTTTGGTCTATTGACGGAATAAGAGGCCATTTCAGAAATGCGCTGCGCAAAGTTTGCTTGAAACGGCAAATAATAGAGAATGCATCACGAACCTTTGAGTATCTGCCTTCTCAACGTGTATCCCAAATGAACCGATTTTTGCAAGTTTCTGAAGCATTTCTTACTCATGGCCCAACATTTTTGTAGCAATGCAAAAGTTTTGAAATGAGAAAATTGATCAAAAACTACGGCCATTCAATCAATCTCAATCAATCTTACTTTATTTACCACATAATACAAAACAAATATGCCAAGAAAATCATAAGATCACAATAACGTGGATGGGGGTCTCTAAATAGCAAAGCTTGTCGAGTAGTGACCCCATTTTCAGTTTTGGAATATTACCTAACACATTTCGATTTTTTTGCGGCCCCAATTCGGGCGTGTCGTTTTGTGCTGTATGGGCGCAAAAGCAACCCAGAATAAAAGTTGTATTTTCAGAACGTTAAAATATCCAAAATAGAAGGAAAAAACCGAAAAATAATAAAACTTTAAAAATACAGTTTGAATTTTCAATCGAAACTCTGTGAAGTTGACTTGTATATCCGGCATTTAACTTTGTGCGTTCAGTATTTTGAAGAAGAAAAAATTCCCTGCAACATTTTGCTCGACGTAATATCTATTGTAACTTGACTAAAAACAAGCGAAGTTTGGAAGCGTTTCACGCTTTGATTGTTGGGCTAAAAAGTGTACCCACAGATTTACCGTTATGCACACGTTTTGCTGATGGATTCTCTTATTCAGAAATGCAGTATTTGTGATTGTTAATCAACACTCCTCCGTATGAATAGGTAGACAATCGTCAATTCAACCATTGGTTTTTATACGAATCATACATAATGGCAATACATTGTATGTATTAAATGAAATGAATGTGACTGCACAGCCGGTGTGATGTCTCGTGTTTTGTTGTAATTTGGAATTGGAAATAATGAAAAAGCGTTAATACATGTAAATCAAGTTAGATATGTGGATTTATATTAACGGAATAGACTTCGATTAAAATTTAAAAAAACAAGCTCGAAATGATCTCGGAAGCTAAGGGTCTGTTTTTATAATGCGCAATATTACTCACTTGGTCATGACTGTCAAATGAAATAAAGAATTTTAATTTGTTGAACGTCAGTTGGTGGGACACCCAATTTGCATGCAGTAGTGTCATCCCCAATGCGAAATGAGTGACCTCAATAATGCAACTCTCAGTCTCCTCCCCCAGAAAGCCAGGGCTTTTTTTCCAGGACAGCATTAAATTTGTAGGCGGTCAGTGGAGATCCATTACAGTGCAACAAAAGAGGGCCAGGGCCTGATAGAGTTGATATACCCTTTGCCATGGCCTGAGGGACGAGTTGATATATACCCATGCAAGGCTGTCACTGGAACGTTTGTTACTAACTAACTAACGGAGAGACACGATATATATTGAAATACCTTTATTGTTAATCACATCAGTGATACAATAAGAATATTAAGACATTACATTTATTTATAAATAAAAACATCTACATTTTGTTCATTATCACACAGAAAACGTCAGACATGGACAAATTCAGCACACATACATGTACATACACCAATGTAGCAGTAGTAAAAAGGAAAAAGGGGGGGGGGCCCTAGGACTCAGGCGTAGGAACAGGGGGGAAACCCTGAAAGGGCCTGACAAGGTAAAAAGGGAAAATTCCACCATCTGGAGGGGGACAAAGTATTAAAAATGACAATGTGGGAGGAACATGTATTAAAAAGGGAGAAATTCAACATGCACAGAATACTTGCAATAAACACATACAACCCTACCGTCTGGAGATAGAAAAAAAAATTTTAAAAAGGAGAAAAAAAATTGCACATTCAAAGGCCTTATTTGATGCTCAAGTTCCAGTCAAACTAGGGAACTTGTACAAGGAAATGAATTTTGCACAGATCTTACACTCGCAAAGGATGGCTACTAGGCTATTATAATGGAGCGCCTAAAGGAGAGTGGAAATGGCCAATCGCGCTCAAAATCCCTATGTTCCAAAAAAAACCAATAATAACTGCATGTATAAGTAAAATTTAAAAAAAATACCGAAAAACTGTCACAAATCATATCCACAAATAAAAAATGGACATGGACTGGAATTAACACTTAAAAAAAACCTAACATCGGAGGAAAAGGGTTTCCTAAAAGCAGTTAGCCCGATGGGCAATAAAAAAAAAAAAAATTTAAACCCAAAAAATCAGCTTATTATGAAAAGGAGAAATTGCACATGCATTCAAGGGCCCAGAGATGCTCAAATACGAGCCAACCTAGGGAGCCTCTATCATAAGTATCAAAGAATATAATTTGCTGACAAAAATGGCACACACGAATGCTGTTTGAGCCCACCATTAAATTTAATGGAAAAAAGAACTCAATATGACAATTTGTTAAGCTGCTGTCTGCAGCTAAAAAGGCCGGTATTTATGCAACGCCTTACCACTAGAATTACCTCGGGGGGGGGGGGGGGGGGGGGGGCGCGTTGGGGCGCACGCCCCCTCCTTTTTTCTTCAGAAGAAAATGTAACACATGCTATAATTAATTTCACCTGCACATGCTAAATCTTGACGGAAAAAGCTTGTATTTCTGATGCATGTGTCATCAAAATGCACATTCACGACAGTGCAGTGACAGTGACATCGTCATTCACTGGTTCCCACCGCGTGCTAACAGAATTGGCGAAGTTCGGGCAAGGACCATTAGTCGATTAGTGGTTGATTTGTGACGTACCTTACGCCTGCGCACTGATAGCAACGTGCGAACGTCTCTAGTAGTCAAACGCTGCTGGTCAAAATGTCATCGCAAATCTTCTGGATCCTGGCTCCCTGCTAGCGTTATGAATGCGCGCGGCTATTGGTTACCAGCGAAGCAACCGACCCCAGTAGGCTCAACCTCGTCCCCAGGGTGTCGAGCAGTACGCGCCCACCACTACCTGCTCTCTCACCCTGGTATTGGATCATTTGCATGTGCAAGATTTTTGCACACGTATGCAAATGAGGAACAGTCTGGTGCCTGGATATGCGTTACACATTAGCGTTTGTTTTTGTATGCGGTGTCTGGGGTAAAAACAGAGTCAATTCGTAGCAGCGCGAGCACGGCGTGAGTTACGAAAACACGATTTTTGAAATCAAACTGTTACGATCTTATCGAGACAACATGCAGTATCATATTTCATATTAATATGAGCAAATTGGAAAGGAAATTAGTATTTTCGAGAAGGCGTGGACGAATGATCGCGAAAACACGTACTGCACGTTTTGAATATATAGCACCAAGTACACGATAAAAATCCATTACTAGCCAATTGCGGTATCCAATCAGGATACAGAAAGAAAGCTTCCTATCCAGGGTTTACTATTGGAAAAGCGGTTGGAAATAAAGTAAGCACTGGGGACGAGGTTGCAGTAGGCTGGTTCCAAATAGTCGACTAGCGTAGTCAACCACCGTTGACTAGACAGAGTTCGGGCAAACGTTAGTTAACCATTGGTCAACTATAGTCCTTGCGCGAACTTGGCCATAGTCCTTGCGCGAACTTGGCCTTATACACCGTTGACTAAACAGAGTTCGGGCAAACCATTGATTTCCATATACACAGACTCTTTGTATATAGAGATCAATGGGGCAAACGTTAGTTAACCATTGGCAATAGTCCTTGCGCGAACTTGGCCTTGATGTAGGACAGAACCAGTGACTACGGGCTACATTTACGTTGCGTTGAATTTGGATCATTATACCAAACGAGCATCGATGGAGAAAGAGAATTTCTTCGAATTAATTCCCAGAAGTGATCTCTCTTTTCTGTGTATGTATTTTTCATTAAAATAAATGTTTACAACGAGATTGTTCCGCTCGTACGTGAGACACCGTAGCGTGTTTCTGCAAGGTTTTTTTGGCAACAGCAACATGGGTTCATTTCAGGGTCCGTTAGTGCGCTACACAATACAGTGCTGTTAATGAATGCACACCGATAGAGTGCGCCGTGTGCGCCACGCAATATACAGCCAGTGCTTGCCAGCGGCTGACAGTTTTAAACCAAACATTGTCATAATGTCATTGTTTGAGCATGTAGGCGTGGACGACTTAATTCTCCATCATTTTAAAGAACATCCACCTTAAAGGGAATGTACATCATTGGTTTTTGCTGTCATTGTCAGAAATGAACGATTTGAGGGGTTAGTATAATATATCAAATATTATTACACTGACATGTTTGAAGTTTTGTGTTCGAAAATGCTGGAAAAAAACAAGAAAAACCAAAGTTGTTCAAGAAGTCTGGTTCCCTGACTCCACTAAAGATGAAATGGATCAATTTAAAGATGCCGGACAATTGTAAGGTAAGGGAACCAGCCTAGCTGGTCTGCACTCGTTCATGAACATGTAACCGATAGCAAACAAAATTTGGACTGAAACAAAATGGTAAATTTGGAGCAGTAGTTGAAAAATAGTTAGATTTTTCCAACGGTGGTTGGCCGACCACCGTTGGAAATTTATACAAAAATACCACTTTTCTTGAAAATGACTTCACACTAGGTGCCATAATTTTACAGGATGCTTAAGACTGTCATTTACCAACATCCTAGTAAGGTATTTTGTAAAAAAATTGGTAGTTTTGTTTTTCGATGTTTGCAAATGTTGTATATTCCCTTTAAATATATTTTCATATTAGGTAAGGCAAATTTTAATCAAACAGTTTTGATAGACAGTGTCGATAACTCGGCGCGATACGAATGTGATAGGAATCAGATTTTTTTGGTTCTTCCGACTCATTTCTCAACTTGAATCTTACTTTTAATCCATATACTTTTCCAGTTTGGGAATTTGTAATTTTTTTTTAAATGATTATTCAATATTTATTTTTAAAAATATCATAAATCTCCTCTGAATTTTGAGAAAAAATCTACCGCAGAGACCCCCAGATTTGCTCTAAAATGCACCAGAGAGCTTCTAAAGTTCAACATTTTTCGGGGCCCTTATAGGCGGGCCCCGAACCCCACGCCGTGGCTTCGCGAGTTGGTGTGTCACATCAAAACTGCCCGCACAGATTTCAAATATTTCACGCCCCCCCCCCTTTTGGAAAATCCTGGATCCGCCCCTGACCTCAAGAAGAGACAGTTTGGCTGAAGACCGAAGCATTTAGAGTAAATCGAACTCATGGCCATGAACATCATGATACTGACAAGTCAGAAATGTAAACTTTTTTTAATATTCGTTTCGCCCTAAAACAATGACCAACTTGACAATAATATTAGTGAGAGTATGTTTGAAAAGTAATACATGCTACGAACAATTTTATACCAAAATGCTCTCCACAACCAGAGGACGCACCTCCATCTAATGGCGTGTTTCATGTGAAATGTGAACTTGTATGAAAATTGAAATTTGGTGTCTTTAATCTCAAATTATGTCTTTAATCTCTCAATTATTGACTCTTATAACCCTCATTTTCTAACCTGTCACTTTCCTAATTATGTCCACGAAGGCATGCGAGTAGTGGAGGGGGACTGTTGAGCACAAGTTGACCTTTTCTAAAGAAATATGTAAAGGTCACATAAATATGTAAATATGTAAATATGTAGATTTAAATATGAATGAATGAAGTTATGAAATTCCGGGCACAGTTTGACCTAATGAATGGATGGGATGAATAGGGAATAGGTGTGGGTATAAGGAACCGGGTACAGTTTGACCAATTCTATGGGAAAGATTGCATAAGGTATGGAAAAATATTACAATTTTAGGAGAATATGTATCTACATGTAATTGCAACTAAGTGGTGCAATGTGAACGAACAGCTGGGTCGGATCTTTAATCCCCCAACAATAGACGGGAGAGGGCTCGTGGCAAGTCAGCGCATTAGTATTGTTACGAAGTTA